AATACAGGAAATAGGAACATCTTTTGAGAATTTCAACATATGTTGCATGTCTGTGTGTTACAGCATGGTTTTGCTGCATTAAAACTCTATGCTTTATCAGCATATAGAGATTAATTTCTATTAGTTTATGTTATGAAAGCCAGTTTAAGCAGTGGTGTGTTGTGTGTTAAGAAATGCATAACAAATATCTGACCTCAGTTACAGTTCTTGTCATGTTATTTTAAATGAAAAAGCCTTAAAACTGCAGCTGAAAAGGATCATTTTTTAAAACCTTCAGAACTGCAGGCTTTTAAAGACAGTTTTCTCCTTTCTTTTGTTTTAGGACAACACTGAGTAAAGCCAGCACACAGAAGAGGACTGTGATGAAGGATCGGTATGGAAAACATGTTCACATAGAAGAGCTGGAAGACACACCAGAAGCACTACCCCAGGATGACCTCCAACATGACCTCCAGCAGCTTCTCAGACACTTCTGCAATGAGGGCTGGAAACAGGAGGCGAAGTGAGAAGCTGCCCCCCCTCAGCACCACCATCTGTCCCGTATGCAGCATTCATCTTCTCTAGGTGTAGACGTTCTTACCGACATAATCACTGGAAGACACTGCCATTTCTACTTGTGCAGATGCCGTGAATTCATTTCTTCCCCTGTCCCCATATTTGATTTTGGGTTTTTGTTATTTTTTACCCTGTAAGCTAATTTGTGACCAAAGATAGCATCCTTCATTCAGGATGATTTATCCACCGAATCGTCGTCTTTGTGCTGTACTGGGAATTTGTCAGCATCGCCACTTCTTGCTGTTCCTTTGCTTCTGCACTAGCTTCATGAAATTGCATTTGTCAAGCCAACTTTCATCTACAGGCCTCTTCAAGTGACTATGTACATGCATCATAAAAAAGGGAGTTCACATGTAAACTGTATATAGCAAGAGTATTTGAACTTACAAGACTGCAGAAAACACACTGCCTATGACTACAATTAGCATCATGGATTACAAGGTCTATTGACACTGCTGAACAGCAATTAATAAAATAATGTTAACACAATCAACTGCAGACACAGACCGACTGAGGAGGAAGCACTGCAGATCTACTGCATCCATAAGACTTCCAGTTTAGGGATATATTATAGTTAAAGGCTCTAAGAGTCAGGCTAAAAACCTGGAAATGCAGCTGTTCTCATGAAGTAACAGCAGATATTGTGTGGAAAAGCTTGTCAGACTCCATTCCCTGTTGCTCCCGTTTCATTACAGTCGAGGCTCAGGAGCATCACACATCATTTGTGCCTGTCTCTGATGGCAGCACTGAGAACAGGCATCTCAGGGTGGCAGTGGGAACAGTTGTACAAGACAGAGTACTTTCTGGAACAGGAAAAAGGTTGTTGTAGCAGCTGTCATAAACAGATGCAAAGGATAAGTTCTTCAAGGCCATGAGTTGGGCTACTTCAGAGTTGGAAAGGAAGTACCAAGACATGCTCCAGTACAATTACTAGTAAAATGAAACTACAAGAAACTGTAACAGATCTGTACATGTGAGGAATATTTGAAAGAATGCAAATGGCAAGCAGATGCTTCTCTTGCTTGTCTGTTCAACATTTTCTCAGCATTCAACTTCATTAATATAAAGCACTGTAGAATGTAATCTTCTGCCCTAGGTTTTTGGTTTTTGTTTTAATTGGAAGTTTATGTTTTAATTCAAGGCTTTGAGCTATACAGGTAACCAAATGAAAGTCCAACTCCCTGCTTTAGTAGAGAAAGAAATCATGAAAGAGGATGGATCAATTGTTAAAAGGTTTGGCTTGGCATGTCAGTGAACTGCTACTAGAAAAGGATTAACAAACATAATAAATGAGTGGATTTAAGCAAGTGTCTGAAGTAAAAACACTGGCAGCATCTAAAGCTTTATGTGCAAAAGTACTAAAGATTCCTACTAACATTCTTTTCCAGAAAGAGATGCACGCACTGGAAAGGCCTACATTCACTTGAAAAAAGACTGGGTGATGAGGGGTAAGGTGGGTGCGCCCTGGCCAGCAGCCAACACCATACAGCTGCTCCCTAACCCTCATGCCCCACCTTGGAAGGGGGGAGAGAATAGAACAGCAAAAGGGGGTTGAAGACAGTTTAATAAGTGAAGAGGGAAGGACAACCAAACAAGCAATGCAAAGGCTTCTCCTCCCACAAGCAGACTGATGCCCAGCCAGTCACTGAGCAATGGTCACCATGGAAGATGTAACCCCCTGTGCCCCCCAGCGTCTTCCTCTACCCCCTGTATTTACTGCTGAGCACAATTCTCTAGAGTATGGACTATCCCCTTGGCCAGTTCAAGGTCAGCTGTCCTGGCTGAGTGCCCTCCCTATCTCACCGAGGGGGCCAGTGGGGCAAAAAAGAGAACTTATCGGTGCTGTGTAAGCACTGCTCAGCAGTAACCAAAGCACTGGTCTGTCACCAGCACTGGTTTAGCCCCAAATGGAAGACAGCCCCCTGTGGAGAAAGTTAACTGCATCCTGGCTAGACCCAGTACAGAGGGGTATCACTGTCCAGCTGGTTTCATAGGAGGCAATACAAGAATAACAGTGTGATTTACAGTTCAAACAGCATCAATTAAGGTTACTCCAAAAATATTTTTTTTGCATACCAGTTGAGTCTGTGATCATTTGATAATTTGAACATTATCAAAATAGCTGAAAGGATATATGAAGATAAATATAGATATATGCATGTGACAGTTGAGCCTTATGAAGAATGAGGCAGGGAAGATAGATAGGAAAATATCTGGAAGGAAAAAAAGCCACTGTAGCACAGCAAGTGTATTTATTCCTGCCACACAGAGCTTGAGCCAAGGCTGCCACTGGCATCTTCTACACACCTTTTCTTTCAGACCCTTTGAATTGATTGTGGCCATTGGGGCGGTAAAGCCAACATTATCATTTGAAAGACCATCCCACCCAAACTGTGTCTGTAATTGTAACAAGCCTTAAAACACACTCCAGTTTCAGAGTTAGCAGGATGGTGTTGCAAGGACAGGCTCGCCTTGCTGCATCTCCTTTTGGATGAAGGGTTCGCATTCTTGTCAAGTGCTCCATCTAACGGAGGGACCTTCTGGTCATCCAGGTCAAATTAAGAATTGTCAGATGTCTGACAAAAATTGAGCTATTCCTGGCTGAGCATGCAGGGATGTCCAAGTGTGCTTGGCGTCCCGTGGTCCTCTCTCAAGGACACGAACCAAAAATTGGGCTTCTGGGTAAGACTAAGCAAGAGGCACCCAAGTTGTCCTATGACAACTACATTTATTTGCCTAGTTCTGGAAGGGACTTGGGGAGATTGAAGGTTCCAATTAGTAGACCAAGATGGTTCCACTGAGGTAAGGGAGTACTGCATTTGGGGTAATCTAGTGTTGTTTTACTGGCCATCAGAATTAAGACTTGTTCAAAAGTAAGCATTCAAGAAATGACTCGGTTTACTAGTGCACAGGACAACTCTCTATGTTGACAATCAATACAGGAAATAGGAACATCTTTTGAGAATTTCAACATATGTTGCATGTCTGTGTGTTACAGCATGGTTTTGCTGCATTAAAACTCTATGCTTTATCAGCATATAGAGATTAATTTCTATTAGTTTATGTTATGAAAGCCAGTTTAAGCAGTGGTGTGTTGTGTGTTAAGAAATGCATAACAAATATCTGACCTCAGTTACAGTTCTTGTCATGTTATTTTAAATGAAAAAGCCTTAAAACTGCAGCTGAAAAGGATCATTTTTTAAAACCTTCAGAACTGCAGGCTTTTAAAGACAGTTTTCTCCTTTCTTTTGTTTTAGGACAACACTGAGTAAAGCCAGCACACAGAAGAGGACTGTGATGAAGGATCGGTATGGAAAACATGTTCACATAGAAGAGCTGGAAGACACACCAGAAGCACTACCCCAGGATGACCTCCAACATGACCTCCAGCAGCTTCTCAGACACTTCTGCAATGAGGGCTGGAAACAGGAGGCGAAGTGAGAAGCTGCCCCCCCTCAGCACCACCATCTGTCCCGTATGCAGCATTCATCTTCTCTAGGTGTAGACGTTCTTACCGACATAATCACTGGAAGACACTGCCATTTCTACTTGTGCAGATGCCGTGAATTCATTTCTTCCCCTGTCCCCATATTTGATTTTGGGTTTTTGTTATTTTTTACCCTGTAAGCTAATTTGTGACCAAAGATAGCATCCTTCATTCAGGATGATTTATCCACCGAATCGTCGTCTTTGTGCTGTACTGGGAATTTGTCAGCATCGCCACTTCTTGCTGTTCCTTTGCTTCTGCACTAGCTTCATGAAATTGCATTTGTCAAGCCAACTTTCATCTACAGGCCTCTTCAAGTGACTATGTACATGCATCATAAAAAAGGGAGTTCACATGTAAACTGTATATAGCAAGAGTATTTGAACTTACAAGACTGCAGAAAACACACTGCCTATGACTACAATTAGCATCATGGATTACAAGGTCTATTGACACTGCTGAACAGCAATTAATAAAATAATGTTAACACAATCAACTGCAGACACAGACCGACTGAGGAGGAAGCACTGCAGATCTACTGCATCCATAAGACTTCCAGTTTAGGGATATATTATAGTTAAAGGCTCTAAGAGTCAGGCTAAAAACCTGGAAATGCAGCTGTTCTCATGAAGTAACAGCTGACTGTGGCCATTAACACTTCTAAGACCTTTGGACAGCCACCTAACAATTTCCAGAAAAAAAAATTTAAAAAAAAAATACCCAATTAGGTAACCAACTTGCTAGCAGCTATATCTATGGCACATTTGCATACGGTATTAAAATCTTTTAGATCTGGACATGTGGCAGGGTGTATTAAACAATTATAACTACAGTAGTTTCCTGTTTTCATCACTGCTTAGCAAACCACACTGTCTTATTGGTGGTACTTCCTGCTGGCCACTGCACTGTAGATAACTATGGGAGAAAGACTTATCACTATACAAGGAGAGTAATTAATTCACCGTGTTTTATCAAGATTGCCTCTTATCCGATACATGCATGTGGCATTTGAAGGTCAAAACCAAACCCTCCTATAATCATGTCAGCTTGTTAGCCCTCTTAGCACTGAGTGAGCAGTTTTTATCTTCCAATCATGTGTTTTTTAAAGAGAAAGTGCTCACAATCCTCAAAAGCCAGTTTCTGTTATCTATCTCTATTATATAATATATATACTTCTAAACCAACCCTCTGAAAACCACATTAGCATGTCTGCACTTTTGTTTTCAAAAAGGGGAACATAGAGATCTGTCATTTTGGATGTTCTATACCTTGATATTTAATGGAGGGAGCTCTGTAGTGTTTTCACATATGTAATACACACAGACACACTAACTAAATGTTTTTAAACAGCTATTTGATTTTTTAATAGTGTACTCAAAACCAGAGTAAAACAAATCCTCTCCTCTAGGACTAATACCTTTTCCAAGCTTATCTGGCCTTCTACCATTATGGGGGGTGGTTTATTTTTTTTAATGACTCACTCAGTGCTCAGAACAAGGGCACTTCCTCATTAAGGTAATGATGCCAAAAGCATGAAAACATCTTGGGAGTTCTGGCTTCCTGCAGGCAAAACAACCCGGGCTGCTACTTTTGGCAGGCAGGAAACAACAACAACAAAAAAATTTAAAAGTGTTTTGGCAGCCAAACCAAATGAGACCCATGAGGAAACATTTCACAACGCATCATGGCTTTCTTCTTGTCAGAGACAGCACAGGATGATCTTCAAGGATGGGGCTCTAAAGAAATGCATTTCTGTTGTGTTATTTGCGGTGCAGATGATGTTCTGTGTAACAACATAATGGTTATTCACCTCTTATTTTGATTTTTTGCTGTGTTATCAAAGAACTTGAATACTGTGAGAAGAAGTGAATTTTAAGTTGACGAATCAGCATCTTGTTCCCATGGTGATAACACTAATTGAATATATCTATGAGGGCATGTATTAGTTAAAAATTTAAAAAATACAACACTAACAATACATAGCTGCAATGTGTACAATGGCTGATTTAACTAAATAAAAATGTACAAGTGTTAAATGTAGAAATAATGGCTCACTCTCTTTTACTGCCAACGCAGCATAAAAAGGAACAGCACCCATTTGGGTACCTTAACTGAACTATCAGAATTATGATTCCACTGTGCCCAGCTCCCTAAGAGAGATGTAGAGTTTCTTTTTTTTTTTTTTTCACTGATTGCTGTCAGTCTGTTATAAGATACAGGAGGGTTTTGTGTTGTGGTTTTTTTTTTTTTAATTATTGTTAATAGTTTTTCAAAGGGTATCTAGTCATATTTTCTTGTTCTATTATTTGACCTGAAATGATGGAATTTTTCTTTGAATAGGGCCAGACCACCACAGTCAATTACTTTTTCAGTGCCCCCTACTGAGAGTTTCTCAGCCAGAATAGGAGAGAAGACCACAGGGTGAATTTCTGTCACATCTTACACCCTAGTAATACACAGAAAAATTTGGGAGGAGTCAATTTTGTTGCTAGTTTAAATGTATTCAGTATGAATCTGTACCAGTTTTATTGCTGTAGGTGTCACTCTGGCTGATGTAACAGGTCACACTGCCGCAGCACCCCCACTCCTTGCTCCTTCAAAGGAGTCCTTCCACCTGCAGCTCACATAGCAGAGAAACCATCAATTGAAGCTGTTTCTGCATTTGCCAAAATTCAGGATCTTTGAAGCTCCCAGACCAAGGGACAAAACAGGCCCAGGAGAGGCACACCTGAACTCCCTGCTGAGCCCAGACCAGAGGTTGTATCCAGAGCACAGGAGGTTTGTGGCTTGATCCTGAGTCAGTCAGGTGTTACAGATGTAGAAAGGATACATGTGAGGCAAGTACCTAAGTCAAAAGCTGCTGACTTCTTCCTCTCTTCCTAATGAAAGACAACTGCATTAAGAAAACACCAAAAAACAACAAAACCAACTCAAAACTCCACACAACCAGCCACCAGCCCCACCTTAAAAAACCCACACTACCATGACATGAGTCTGAGTACAAATAAAATAATTGCAGAATCCAGCATTTGCAAAACATAAAAATAAGCCTTTTGCCCCATGCAGATCTATTAAATACAAACATAGAGCAAATAAAAATGTCTATTTCTCCCAACCTATGTGTATCAGAACATGTGTCAGCTGTAGAGTGGCAGTAGCAGCTGCAGTACCAACACAGTATTCATGTCCTCTCTCACTCCAATTTATTTAATGAACTTCAAAATATTAAGGCCACATAAAGCATAAGCAGTACAGAGGGGGCAGCCACCTTTACACATGGATGCCAGGATGGGTGTCAGTGTGGAATGCAATTGCCAGCAGGCACCCAGGGGAGCCACACTGCCTGTTCCTCCTTTAGACACACCTGAGGTGCACGGGGAGTGGTGAGGAAACAGGACATGTCAGAGGTAGGCTACCAGTTTTTTTTAAATGTTTTTAAATCCTAGCCTGACTGGTTTCAACCTCACTGTCAGCATTTCCCAATAGAAAGAGTGTTTTGTAGACTTTGGCCAGTTCTGCTAAATAATACCTGAAAGTAAACACCTTTTATGAAGGTTTGGGTTTTTTTTGGTGGGTTTTTTGTTTTTTTTTTTTTTGGTTGTTGTGGGGTTGTGGGTTTTTTATCTGTTTTGTTTTTTAGTGAACGTAACAGGGACTGTTATGTTAAACATGTCACAGCCTGATAAATAGCAGCAACAATTCAGGTACTAACTGTCTTTTCCACCTTGAAAACAGGAAAGGCTTTATTTCTGTGTACAATTACAAAGCATCCAGAATCTATATATAAAACTGAAGAATTTTACAAGAATGTATTATCAAGCTTTTTTTCAGTCTGATTGTAAAGCTCTAAGCCAGCTCAAAAATACGAGCATTATTAGCAGAACCTCCATTGTCTTCTACTTCTATTCCCCAGCAAAACTTGAAAAACAATGGTTTAGATGTATACAGCCTATAATTTCATGCCTTCAGCAGTGAGCAATTAAAAGAACAATGTATTTCCCCAAGGAAATAAATACAAACAGCTTCACCTGCATCATCACCTTAAAACCTTCTGCACTGTATCCCTGCTGTGAACCTTGCAATTGCTGCAAGCACACTGGCACAGAAAGCAGCATTTCAGAAAAGTCCATAGCTAGAACAGTCGGCAGGTCTCAAAATATCTGGTAAAGAGGATACCAGTTGTTGCAACTTCTGTCAGTGAAGTGGCAACACCAGAAAAAGAAGCTGTATCCTCAATCTTTGCCATCCTTTTTGAGTCACCTGCACAGATGTAGTTTGTCTCCTGAGGTCTGACCTTCTTCTCAGTAGTGGCAGCAGCAATAGGTACAGTCCACCTCAGCTGTTCCTGTCAGATCTGCCTCCCGCTCCCACTAACAAGAGAGGAATTAATGAATACTGTCCAGGAGACTGTCCATCACAGGTTCCTTTAGTCAGGTCTCTACAGAAAAAGGCAGTAACCCGACCTATTTTGCAACATATTTCTGACAGGGATGCTAGGAATATCACTCATTCTGCTTGCAAGCTATGGGGCTCTTAAAAACCAGGGCTGTATCAGAGCTGAATAATCTTTAGCTGTTAAAAAAATTCCCCAAACAAACAAGGATGTGCACCCACACAACAACCACCAAACAGAAAACCCACTCACACACACCACCAGCACAACCCCAGAACCATTCATTCCATTAAAGGTAACACAACATTTCCAGGTCACTGAATCTCTAAGGAGGGCACCAGCTTTCTGATTTCAGTGTGACCCCCTTTCCCCTTTGAATGCTTTTCAAATCAACTCCATCAAATCAACATCCTTCTTGGTCAGACTTCAGCTTTTTTTTTTTTTTTTTTTTTTTTAAAAAAAAAGAATCTGACACCAGCTTTCTCTATTTATTAAATCAATACCCACATGATCATCACATGACCCCAGATATCACTGTTGCTGAGCTCAAAGGTAAAACAGAGTGCCCCTGTCAACCTATTTCTCTGTAATTACCGGGTATGATTCTAAAAATGGCACACCATTTAAACACACAAAATTGAAGTGATTGAAGCACCAGCATCTACTAACAGCTGCAATGCATCAGAACGCATGGTATACTTAAAACCAGCCAGTTTTGTGGTGCAACACCATGGCTTTTACTGAACTAATGCAGTTGTAGTAGTAAATATAGACCTTTCAGAGAGGGCAATGGGAAAAACATTAGATTTGGTTAGGTGATGCTCAGCTTCTATACAGCTGAAGGGTAGAGAACCAACAAGGACTCTTCCCCACATCAAAATAAAAGCCAAAAAGCCAAAAAAGTGAAGAAACACACATGGAAATCTCTCAATCCAATTCATTAACTTCTGTTTGTGCTTTGCTCTTCATGTTTCAGCAGGTGGACTGACCATGGGCACTATCTCTTCCTCTTTGTAATGCTACAGTTTCAGCTTCATGTTCTTATGCCAACATGACTCCTTAGCAGGAGCCACCAAAATAATAGGATTAAAAAGAAAAAGGTGGGTGTAAAAAGCTCTAGCAGTTCTGAAGATCAAATTCTCCATAAGCACCTTAGATCTTCCCTTTGCGTCTTCAAGAAATAAGATGCAGACCAGTTGGTTGAAAGGTAGGCAACAACATCCAGAAATCTCCCCACAAGCCACCACATCATCCTCTTGTTTCTGAATCAGAAACAGGCAATTAAGCAGCAGAAACAAACCCTCCCCCTTGGCTTCATTATTGCAGGAGGAAACACAATTTTACACACAATACACAGAAGTGGGATATAGATGCTGAAGGCCCCTTTCCAGCACTCTGCCTGCACCAAGGGATAAAACAGAACTCTTTCACTAGGGGAGAAACGAGGCCCTCGGCTGCCCACCAGCTCACTCCCACCTGCTCATGGCCATGGCCATTTTATACAGGTGAGCAGGAGGAAGACAGCTCTTACTGGGAGCAGCAAGCAGGCCATGCCAGGCAGCGTTACTCTGGGTCACACCATCAGGGCTGTGGCATGAACACTGGTACGGCAGGACACGCTGACAAGAACACTATAGCAAAATGCTTGCTCGGGTTACAGGGTGTGCTAAAACTATGCTGGCCCTGTGAGAAGACAACTGTACTTCACAGAAAGCAGGTTAGAGCCACGGAGACACCTCAGGGCTGTATAGCATCCTGCAATCAGATCAAGAATGATGCTTCACAGAGAATCACAGAATTGTTTAGGTTGGAAAAGACCTTTAAGATTATTGAGTTCAACCATAAACCCAACACTGCCAAGTCCACCACTAAAGCATGTCACTAAGCACCACATCTATCTTTTACATGCCTCCAGGGATAGTGGCTCAAACACTTCCCTGGGCAACCTGTTCCAGTGCTTGACAACCCCTTTGTTGAAGAAATTCCTCCTAATAGCCAATCTAAACCTCCAGTGAACACAGGTCCAAACCAGCATTGCCTTCTTTCTCAACACAGAACACACTCCAGGTGTACTTTTTAGCTTCAGTTACTTCTTTCACACAAGTGAGACAGCACTTGGCCAGTAAAGTGACATTGATCTGAGGTGGCAACAGGCTTCCAGTCCATGTTTCAGACTGACAAGGAAACACTGCTGGATGGCCAAGGGACCGGTTTGGTCTTGGCACCAGACAAGATAACATGCAGAAGGGAGAAGTTATTTTTCCTCCTCACAGTTTTTAGAAAGCCGAAAAGAAAATATCAGAATTGTATCACTTGCTTCAACAGTAGCTGAAGTTTTGGGTAGGACGTGGGAAAACGGTTTTCTTGGAGACAGCCGATTGACACAGGAAGGGAGGAGAAAGTGTGAGAGCGATAACCTGAATAACAAAGAGAAGAGGAGCTGGTGTTTAGGGAAGGAACGTTCCACTGCAGTATTTGTGTTGGCAAGTCCTTTTTTCATCTGATGTGTCCAAACAGCTTATTCCCCAAACAGTCAGATGAGAGACAGCCTATTCATTTTCAAGGCATATTTTAAAATGCTATAGAAACAAGTGCTGTAACTGTAGGGCTCGCCTAGCTTTAGTCAGCCCAGTTATTTGTTAACAAGGCAGTAAAATAATTTTGCA